CAGATCATTTTAATTGCTGCCCCTCCCATCCCTGTAGAGGCTCTGAGTCCTAGTGAGTCTAAACCCGACCAGGTAGTGATCTGTCCCTGAAACAGAACTATAGAACGTTCCTCCACACCTAAATAACCATCATCCCACCCAGCACAGGAAGCCAGGTCCAGAGTATGCCTTGCATTATGACTGGCCCTAGATATTATCTGGGACAGACCCATAGTGTCATGGAGGACTTGATGTCCTGATCTATTCCTAACAGAGTGGTCTCTGCTTGGATGTTGAAGTTCCCCAGCACAACAAGCCAGGGGGACTTCAGCACCACCAATGAGACCAGCTCAGCCAGCTCAGGAATGGACTGTTGAGCAGCTGGGTGTGCAGTACAGCAACAGGATCCCTATTCTTTCATAGCCACCCAACCTCAGATGCAAACACTCAAACACACTAATCTGTGGGGTGGGGCACCTGGTAAGGGAGATAGAATCATGATAAGACTACTGCAACTCCATTTCCTGACTCCCTCAGGCCTTACCTGCTGTTGCACTGAGAACCCTGGTGGACAAAGTTGAGAGAGGTTAACTCCCTCTGCTGTATCCAGTCAGGTCTCTGTAATGCAAACCAGGTTGACATGCTCATCCAAGATCAAGTCCTGGATAAGTGGTATTTTTGCATTCACCAAGTTGGCATTTTCAGCCCACGGGGCCCATTGCCAAGACTATTCAAATTATTTGAGGTGGGGAGGCAGTTTGGGGGCAACCAGCACCCTGAGGCTCTCCCTCCTCCTATGGTGATAATACAGTCTCCCCAATCTGCATTCTCTTCTACCTATTATTGCTGGAGTGGTTGCCCCTCAAAATCCTTACAAGTCTTCATATCTCAGAAAGAAAAAGTCATAAATTTGCCCAGATGCAAAAATCCAGAGAGCAAACAAGAAGAGAACTTACCTTCCTTGCTGTAGAATGTGACATCCTTCTGATAAATCCGTGGATCTTTAGTTTTTAACAAGGCCAAGGTACTGTAAAATGCACGATCCAGTTTGGGATCCACTTCCTGTCAAAGGAGAAAATAACCAGTAGGTTAGGAGGGTTATGGGAGAGCCTAGGTTTTTTTTTTAAAGAGCAACTGTTTTCCTTCCTTGCCCAGCAAGGATAAAACTCAAAAAGTATAGCCAACAGTGAAGGGGATTTGACACATCCCTTCAACAACAACAAAAAAAGGCAAAGACAAAGTAACCCTAGCATCAAATTTGCTATTCCAACCACATAAATATCACAAGTAACACAAGCATGGAGCTATGGGGTGAGGGGGATGAGAGCACTGCTCCCCCGAAACATCATCTTCCTTCAGTCCCTAGCATTTCTAGCATTTTAGAGAGTAAAATATTGAAAACTGTTCACACTTAGAACCCATATTTGCTGTGTTCACATTTCCTTGGTTGCTTTGCCTGCTTGTCAGGGATACCTACAGGTTTTCTAAATGTGTGACTTAAAATTTAAATTACTGCAGTACTAGAAATGTGGGGACTGAGGGAAAATTTCATGAGAGGGGCTGGAATTCTTACTGTGCTCTCATTTTATCCCCCCTCCCCCTGAATTCAAAGACATGGCCAAGATAGTCTGGAAAATCAGTCTGCAAAGGGATCCTGAAGCACCTTTGAGACTAACTGAAAGAGAAAAGCTGGTAAGGGGCTTGTTGTTGTCTCATCCAGAGGGTCGCTGGTCC